TTAGATAGGTTGAAAACATTTATAAAAATAAAAGAATTTTAAGCTCAGCAAAATTAGGTGTTGGTGAAACTGAACTGATAACTTCAGTTTTATTTCCCACTTTTTTCGCAGTAATTTATTTTTTAGGCATGATCGCATATGTACTGAGTTTGATGAACCTTTAGACTCACATCCAAATTCACAGCAATACTTATTATTTACCATTGTAGGTTGAACACTTTCTAATTCTAACAGACTACGGACTTTATACCCATAGCAGCCGCCATTACGTAGTTTGTGCTAATACTGCTAGATGTCAGATCTATCGTTGGCACAAGCTAATTGTAACAGATTGGTGACAGAAAATTCACATTTTGATTGATGTTAGGAATAATAAATCTTGTATCATTCTATCTCCTTCCTAATCGAAGGATAATTTTTGTAATTACTACTTAACTTTTGTAACAAATTTTTAAATTAATATTAATTAACAAGATAAAATAGGTTGATAAAAGCTATCTATACATCATTTGGCTTAAAATTTAACTGGTCTTATTGTTTTTTTATGTAGTTTAATCATGTAATACTTAGGTTTGGTTTTAAAAATCATTATTATTGAACATCTAAAAATATACTTTAACATCTGAGGTTTTTCCAAGTAATTTTTAGATTTCATTTCAGTTAAGGTCATTGCAACAAATTACAGGTATACCTTGAGTTACGTCGTTCTCGATTATACGTCATTTGTCAAAAAATATATGGAAAAATAAAAATAAGTTTGTCATTTTATTTGATTTTATGTCCATCCGCCACAAATATTGAAGTTGTAATATCACTAGAAAAGCATTAAAGCATATAAAATCATATTAAAAATGTACATTTACAGTAAATGTTAATATAATCATCATAAATCCTAGAGAACGAAACATAAAAACATCTGTGTTTTTGTGTTGTCATCTTATTTAGTGGTCTTTAAGTGCTCAATATTGGTGTTTTCCACGGTAGCTCCAATATCTACCGTTGGCATCATTGTCAGCGCCACTCAATATTGATAAATTTAATTTAAATTAGTTTTTCTGCTGTCGCAAGATAATTTTAATAACTGTATTTGTTATTTAATCTTACAAAATCATCTTATTTTATAATGTCTTAGAGCAAACCACATTCACAAATAAAGAGTCTGCGATGTACTGTAATCATCGCCAGATTGTAAACATGTACATTTACAAGTATGTACTGTACGAACTTGAATTCGTAAATTTAGATTACTTTTTTCTGTACTATATTAAAAACTAAAATTTATTTGTTTGTAAGCTTAAAATAGATTCTTATTAACCATATATTATTAAAAATTCATTTATAAATAAAATACAGAACTGGGAATGGTTATTTGTGGTTTAGCCTAGTGACAAGTAAATTCGGAGACAAATAAATTCGACTTACGTCGTTTTTCAACTTAAGTCTCCTGGAACCAATTACCGATGTAAGGTGAGGTATACCTGTACTATGGCTATTGTACTTTCCCAAACCAAGAAATTTTTCATTAAAAACCAACAAATGCTAATATCCATGCCTGAAGAAAGATTTAATTCTGCAATTTGGTCGAAAAGAAAGAAATTGTCTAGTGACAAATTGCTTTAACAAATTGTCACCAGATCTGCAGGTTGTTAATAGAGTAAAAACTGTGCAAACTGGAATTGCACCATACTGAAATGTTTTCCTGTTTTGAACAGGTTCTAATATTTTTTTCTTTTTTATCTTTAAACTATACCATATAAATGTCACACAGTTACATTCATTCATATAGTAAAATCATTCTATATATGTAAAAATAGTTTTATTATTAGGTTTAATCCAAATTAATTTAAAGTGATTCAACTAAAGATGGAAATTGAGAACTATTCTAAAAAATTTATTCCTGAGAACTTTTGTTAGATGTTTGAATAGTTGGATATGATTCTTACAAGCTCATGTGACAGCAAACAAATTAATTTGATCCATGATATACTGTCTCACTTTTCTGTCAGAAATTTTAATCATATTACAGTGATACAAAGTTATTTTGTGATCTGATTTCTCAATAAATTTTAGTACATCATTGGTATTTACAAAGATTGAAGTTAACAATTAAGCTAACTTGTTATTATTCCAATTAATCTAATTGTAACTACTAATGATGTTAATTAACTTGTTCTTGACTTCTTAGTACTATTTAGTTACTATTTTGGCAGCATGTATTATTTCATTCTCATTGTTTTTAACAAATTATTCAATCTGCTCCTTAATAGCAGCAGAATTGAATACTTTTAAGAATTGAGAACTTTAATTTTACAAAAACATTGTGTTGGTGTGCCCTTTGTCACATCACCTTTATGTGATGTGACAAAGTTGGGTGTTATGCTTTACAGTGACTGTTATAACAGGAGGCACTTTTTACTATTTGTCTACAAGTGGAATTAGGTTGTTCATATCCAAAAATCTCTTTCATTTCCACATTACATAGGTTCCTGACGTATATTTTAATGTAACTTAAGAAATCACTCTGTTTTGAAGTTATTTAGGCAGGTTTCTGTTTTATTCAGACTTCATTTCAAAGAGAGTTTGTTGTAGTGTGTGATCGGTTAATGAACAAATCAGATAACGAACACTTTTGTGAAAGATTTTTATGTTCGGACAATGAACACCTCACAGAACAAACACAAGAAGAAGCAACATAAAATAATGAATACCAATTGGTCTTCTCTTGTCTCCAGGTAACAATTTGAAACTTTTCAGAGCACGGGAGACGGCAACATCTATGCTCAACCCAGTATATACTAATCGGATAGTATTCCTTCAAACTTTGAAACTCTTCCTTGTAATTTCAACCTTTTATTTTTCTGACAGAAACAATTCTTTTATAGTATTCCTGAAACTGTCAGGCAGGCACTCTTTAAGTTTTGTGTCAGTTTTTATTTTCAAAAAGTGAGAATATAATAGCAAAGGTAGAGAGTGGGCAGATGTCTGTTGTTGTTGGGCAGTATGGCTTGAACAGGTCTACAGTAGGCCACTGTTCAATCTTATCTAACTTGTAAGAAAGATACAGTATAATCAAGAAGATTCAAGCAGTTAAAGGAGTAACAAAAATCACATCTGAGAAATAAAGAACATTGAAGAGCTCATATTGGAACCTGAAACTAATTTGATGACAGAAGAACGCTAAGAACACCAAGAAACTCGATGAGATATGTTTTCTTTTGAAAAAGAGGATTAATGCCGATATCTGCTATTAAAGATCTTTTGAAGAAGTGGAGGATGTCAGAACAATGGTCTTAGAATGGCATCCAAACCAGGTTGAGGTTATAATATGTTTGCACTTCACGCCAATGTATACTATCACTATAACACTTACGTGCAGTGGCATTACAGGAGTGGAGTCCCGGACATGGAAATTTAAAATTATAAATAAATTTTCCTGTCCGGGACTCCACTCCTGTAACGCCACTGCTGTAAGTGTTATAGTGACAGGTTGAGGTTAATAGGCTTAGGGATCTCTATGACAGCAATGCTATTAATTACTTCCAAAAAATCCCGAAGAAGAGAGAAAGGCAATTGACATTGGACAGATACTTTAATGCTCAACAAACAGAAAAAATATGACTGATAAAAATACACGACTGTGTATATATGTATTTTTATTATTATATATAAATAAACATAGTAAGAAAGTATATAATTTTTTATTTATTTTTTGGAGACTCCAGAACAGATTAATCAAATTCCCATAGAAATCTATGGTAAATCGATAATCAGTTAACAAACAATTCAGATAGTGAACAAAGTCTTGGAATAGATTATGTTCATTAACTGATCATCCACTGTACTTTGTTTATTGATGCATTGTTGTCAAATTTAATTTTTATGAAAAAATTAAAATTTTAAAGATATTTTATAATTTCAAAGTTGATTTACTTATTTATAGAGTTGTTATTTTAATTAACTTAAATTTAGCAATTTAAATTCACATTAGCAATATTAATATACAACAGTATATAACATGCAAGGTTTAATCATAATTATTATTCCTTTATTCTAGTGCTTCGTTGGCTTTATAATGACTGGATATAATGCTGTATCTTTATTTTATGTCATAGAATTGAAATTGAACTTATTTATAACATTTTCCAATTATAAAGGTTAATTAAACACTTCTTAAATAAGCTTATTTTTGCTTTTTTAAGTATGCTATTAAATATAATAATAATAGTGTTAATATTAGTTGATCAAAAGCATTGTACAATATTAAATCTATTAAAATAGAACTTATTGAACTTTCTCACCACACCGGATTGTATATGCTCAAAATACACAACCTATAAATAACCAATAACTGGCGTGAAATTCTTCAAAAAATCGGCGAACTTTTTCGATGCCCCTCCTGGGCTCTTCTTCAGGCTTATTTTTATATCTTCTGTTGTAAATGGATTCTTTAATTAAAATGTTTTTAAAAATTTGAAACGTGCCCTTTTTCTGAAAAATTTCAAAATTTTTTCAGAAAAAGGGCACATTTCAAATTTTTCAGAAGTAAATTTAAATAAAGTCCAACAATTTTAAACATTTTTGAAGCATATAACATACAAGTTCAGCATTCTAATAGAAAGTAGAAGTGAATGGATTCTGTTTTATGTTTAATTCTCTTTTATATATGGTTTTTGATTTTATGTGAAATAAAAAATATGAAGCTTAGTTAAAACATCAAATCATATAAGTTAGTTTAATCTCGTAATGCTTGTAAAATATTTTTTGATTACATTTAGATTGAATTTACTAAATTTTCAAAAGTATTTTTCTTTTATTATTAAAAGCATTTATAATTTTTTGTATGTTAATTGGTTAATCATACTATGTTGAATTTCATGCTATTCTTATATTTATTATGCTGATATTTTGCAAAGTTTGTAATTTTGTTTTCAGTTTAGGATTATTATATTAATATTTTAATTTAATAATGAATTTTTTAATTTTTTAGTTTTATGTTATGGCAGAGTAATTTATTTGTATGGAAGAAAGGAGTATTTAATAATAAACAATCATGAATAAATTATATCAGGTATGTAAAATGAATTTATTTTCTAGTTATCATAAAAATATTTAAAATAAATAATACCTGCATTTTTTTATATTTTATAATATATTTTAGCATTGCCTAAAATGTGGTTTATCATTAACAAATCACTTATTGGAAGTTCTTGATTCCTGTATTGTTAAATATTTTTTGAGAAAATTATTTATCTTTATTTTAACTTTTTATACAAATTTATTTTTCAGTTTATTAGATTATGCAGAAATTTTCAAAATAAGATTTTTGTAAAATTTTGTTTATATGAATTCAATTTATCTTNAATCCCCCATTTCTCACCTCAGGGAAAGTCATAAAACAGTTGGGTGCTAATGACTTTGTGAAAAGGGAAAAAGTTCTACACTTAGAAACTTCGAAAAAAGGGATTTGGCCTGTACCGTCCGCGGGCCGCATAAACATTGATAGGGGGCCGTATGTGGCCCGCGGGCCGCAGGTTGTGCACCCCTGATTAAAATATGTGCCATTTAGAAATCATATTTTTTATAATGTAAAAAAAGTGAAAGTTTTACTTTTTATAAAATATTTTTACTTTTACACATTGGGACAGTTAAGAATTATGAAATTAAATGATTGACATTGCAGATGTTTATAGTGTGAACAAATGGTATAGTCAGTAATTAGGAAAATTTAAGTCTATAAGGCATATATCAACAGAGAAGGCTGATCAGTTATTAAAATAAAACCAGTTAAGATAAATAATATTATTATCTGTTTAAAAAAAAACAGCTGCATATCTGCTTTCCTATTCAGATTTAGGATTTGAATTCTGTTTTATTTGAATTTAAATTTCATTCTATATTATATTCCATTTGGTTGTATCCTGAAAATGACTGCTTGGACAACTTTCTCAATTTTACTGGTAAAGATTTAAGTGTTTTAGTTATATTTAAAAAAAAATATTTTATCATTTTTAGCAAACTGCAATTTTTGATGTATTAAGTACATAAATTAAGAATATATGCATTTATTTTATATAAAATTCATTATCTCAATCAGACATGATTTTTAAGAGTGTGGGGTTTAAAAACAAACATATTTATTGTTTTTTTTCATAATGTAGTTTATTAACTTTTACAATATAGAATAACATAATATGATAGACTAAAGAGGAACTGAACAAGTAAAAAAATTGTAAGTTATAAACAATATACTGTTTTATTAATACAGTGAGATTTTTCTGTTTGAATTACTAAATAGCATGTAAACAAGTGCACATCCTTGATTTCAGATAAAGAAAAAGGAAAAGATCATGGAATGTGTTGAAAAGATGTACACTAATAAATAGCTACAAAAATTATTTAATAAAAGCTTCTTTAATAAATAATTCTTTATTCACATATATAATATTTGCATACATTTTTAAAAATTAATAAAAGAGTGTGTGTGTATGTATATATATAAATAACATTGTGGGTTTTATATTTATATATCTTTCTCATTTATACATTGTTTCCAAACCATCCCTATCAAGTCAATAATGAAGTATTTCATTTATATATCAAAATTCATGACAGAGCTTCATTTAAAGATCTTTTCATTTGAATACTGATATTGCAATATTCTTTTAGAAAACATATTTAGAATTTCCAGAGTACACATTTTTGTTCTATTCTTTCATTCTTCATCTCACATATTTGGAATTAAATCACATAAAATTGACCTCATTAAGTTATCATCTCTTATACTGCTTTCACACACAATCTGTGACTCATTTTGATCTCGATTTACCCACAATCTTGATTGGAGCACATCGAGCTGTTCAACTGTTCAGCTCGATGTTCACCAGGCAGTCCACTTGAGAAGAACCCGGCAATTGCACACGATGATAAAACTGACATAACTACAGGATAAATCACGAACACCAACAAACAAAATGGAAGTTTTGGTTAGAAATAAATACTTTTTTTGCTATATATCTAAGAATATCCAGATCATTGTCTCTCCAAATATCTTTTTTATTTCTCTGTTGATAACCCAACATAGTTCCTCAGCCATCTTGTTTTTTCTCACGTAAATGGGATTGTAGGAACTCTCTTATGACTGGATCTAGTTTCATAAACTCTCTTGTGTTGATTGTGATTGAACCTTGTTTCAGCTGAGATTTAAATGGTTGAGAGAGGTTGCACTATGCCACATTCACCAATCTTATCACAATCTAGATCGAAATGCTCAGTGCAAAAGGGCTATTACAGAGGTGGGATTATCAATAGAGTATTTGCTAATGAGTTTGAAGCAGTCACAATATAGGAGAAATCTAAACATATATAGTATCCTGTATAGTAAAAGAATTCATAATTGAGGAATTTTGTTTTAACAAATTTAACAAGTTTATTTTAGGAACTATTCCATCATCATGCTTTTAGCATAAAACTCATAATGGTTCTTAATAGATATTTTAAAATTAGAAATAAAGTTTGTAGTGTTCCATATACTATCAATATCAGTGGCATTTGAGTCTTGAATAGATGAAACTTGCTGTTCATCAGGTATATGAATTATGTCTATTTGACTACAGACTACTACAACTTCATAAAATGTATACAATAAAAGTATACTACTGTTTTTATTAATTTTATAAAATTAAAAAAGATCAACATTAAAACATTCATTTAAAACTAATACTATAAATTTTTATGTTATGTCATATAATTGGTAAAAATCTTCCTATCAATAAACAAAATTAATTTTTCAACAAGTTGTGTTTTGTTACTAATGACTTAATTGGTAATTCTTTGTTTATCTATAAATTTTCTATTAAAAATATATTAAAATTCTGAATGATATACAATATTGAAGGAAAATAGGCTAACTCTATAAATATACTGTACTAATACTAACTATTAGTCAAAAATATAATGTATTTTACCAAGATTATTCAAATTAAAACTGTAAGAGTTACATAAAAAATTTTTTACTGACTATAAATGAAATATAGTGAAACCTCGGTATATGACCTTAATCAGTTCCTGATGTTTGGACTTATACCGAATAGGATGTATACCAAACCAACCTTTCCCGTAAGAAGTAATGTAAAAATGAATAATCCATTCTCATGTAAAAAAAAACCCTTTTGATATGGTATATTAATGGGGTTTTAAAATAATTTAACCCCTTTTGCAATGTTAGCAGATATAATAATGTCTTTATTTTTCATGATTGTCAATATCGTCGTTCTCGGATTATGGTATGCAACAGTTAAATCTCAAACACCCATATCACCTTCATATTTCTCAGCAATATCTTTTTTCAGTTCCATTGTGATTCTAGTCATTTTTTTAGTTTCTGTTGCTTTTCATTTGTCGTTTTGCAATTCATGATTAATAAAAATAATAAAATTTTACTTACAAATTAAAATCAGAAGAAATTTAACAAAGTTATAAACTGTGGCACCATGAACGTCTAGTCTGGTCTAATACACCGATAGTACTTGAGGGGATTGTTAGGGTCTACCTCCCGATAGTCAAAATCAGCTAGATCTTTCAATCCGATCGCATCTGTGAACAAGATTGGTGTATCATCGAATTTTCGTTTTTCATGCAGAGGAAAAAAAATCTAAATGACGATATCATGAGTTCATTTACAGATACAGTAGTTACAACCTTATATACAGAAAGCTCATAACAATGTCAATCGTGGAGACAGTTATGAGCTTTCTGAGCACACAAGATGGACGTTTTGCCCTGAGTACATCGACCCAAAAAGTGGTTAATCTTGACCTCTGACGTCACACTGGTCAGGGACTGTGGTTAGGCACTGTTTTCCGACCGCCGCATGCTACTTGTTCATAGATGGCACGTATAATTGAATTAAGTTGTATACTGAACAAAAGTCATATACTGAGCAAAATTTGTTTCATTCAAACAGGACATATTCCGAATTGGACGTATTTTAAAGCAGACATATACCAAGGTACCACTGTATTCCTGCCAGTTTTCAATGTAATTTTGTTGTGTTCAACATAATTTCTTTACTGCTCCATTAATGATTGAAACCGCTGTGTGTTGTTGACTTGTTCTGTTGTATAGTGAATAAGTGATTTAATAATGCATCTTTTGGTGATAAAAAAAAGTTAGTTAAGACAGTTTAATGAATATGCTGAAGAGATGATATGTAAAATTTCATCTGTATTTATTCTAGTATAGAATGGAAAATATGAAGATAGACTTTATAATGCTACAGGCATAGACATAAAGATTATAATTCTATTTAATGTTTCTTTTAAATTATCTTGATGATTAGTTGTGGAGAATTTTTGACACTTTTAATATTGTTTTTAATCTTGTGCATATTTACTGCTGGGTCAATTAGTATTTCTGCAATAAATGTTGTTCTTTTATATCTTTTGCATTCAGAAATTATAAAATAATTTTATGCACCAAAGTAAAGTATGATCTGTACTTTAGTATATTAATTTAAAGCTTATATTCTCTTAAAAACCTTCAACTGATGATAAACTTTTCATGTACTTTTCACATTTTTGAGGCAGTGTGTTAGCAAAGCCTCTTCTATGTGGCTTCAGAATTGTGTTCATTCTCAAAATCTGTTTGATCAATTTTGATTAAACTTTGCTATTTTCCATTAATTGTGTTTTTGAGATATAAAATTGTTTCATGAGCATGCACAAGAAAGCAATATCACATGACAAAGTTGTGCAATGTTGTACAGTTGCTAGCATGTCTTCTGTGGGCTTATAGAATTGAGTTCATTCTCAAAATTTAATGGGCCAATTTTGATATAACTTTGCCATTTTCTATTAATTGAGATGAGGAATCCAGAAATGTAATGTGGGTCCATTTAAATGTAAAAAATTCAGCAACAAGTTGTTTAACTTTCTCTGGCAACATTTAAAATTACATGTGTTGTGCCACCTGTTATGATATTTTATTATTAAAAACTTTTTATATTTTTAATTATTAAAAACTGGCAAAAAGCATAATTTTGATGGTAGGGATGGGTTTTATAAAAAATGTAAATTCTAATAACAAGGAAAATTGCCTCAAGTAATTACACATCACCTCCTTCATCTTCCCACCCTGTTGCCTTTTAGCCACCAAAATTTAATATTATCAATCTCCCTAATATGCAAACCTCTCTGTAAAATTTTAGAAATTTTCAACAAAAAGTGCAGGAGTTATTAAGCTTCAAAGAGGGTAAAGAAGATCGTCCCCCACACAATAACACCCATACGTACAGAAAACCCCGTTTTTTTTTTGCATCTCTTGATGTTTCAAGATGCCCGGTTCAAAAATGTAAAACTCTTGGGGGGGTCATTTTTTTGATTGATCTCCATACTTTTCCTCTGTTATATATAACAGCCGAGAAAATAAAAATAGGAGTCCATGATTTCGTTTTCAATGTATAGCGGTATTAAAGTGACAATGTTTGTGCTTTCTGATGTGACTGAGTGTGCCTAACCGAATTGGCATAGGGGTAAAAAATAAAACAACATTGCATGCACTTAATAGAAAATATGCATGAAAAATGAACAAAACACAAAACAAAATCTATGGTGGTTGCTTTGTTATTGGATTTGCATCTCTGTGTTGACAAGTGCAAGGATTATCTTTCCCATGGCTGGCAGGTACAAGGATCAAATTTTTTCTGTGCCTAACAAGTGCAGGGATTGTTTCTTTCTTTTCAGCTCTACCTCAATTCCGTTATGATAAGACAAAGTCACATAATGTCCTAGTTTAAGTTATTTGACTGATGAATATACATATGCACTGCACATATAATCACAACTAATATCATATGTATATTTAACTTTATCAATAAATGTAATTTACTATAAGTTTTGTATCAAGTTACTACATTTTTAAATTGCTACAGGAGGCTTATTTTGTCTAAATGGCATCTTCTCTTAAATATTTTGTAATAAAGAAAAAAGGTATCAACACACCAACCGAATGCCAAAAATCTATCGGGCTAGTATAAGGCTAATTATTAAATGAATTACGTAACCAATTTGGCTTTAGAGGTAAGCGTTAGGCGCCTAATGCTTACCTCTAAAGCCAAATTGGTTACGTAATTCATTTAATAATTAGCCTTATACTAGCCCGATAGATTTTCGGCATTCGGTTGGTGTGTAGCTATATTATATATTGGGTTTAGCGATGTTTGTATATAAAGGTATCAATTTTGCATGTTAGAAATTTCATAGTGGTATTGCACTTTTTATTTAAATGAACATTTTATTAATGAAGTTTTATATATTGCTTATATTCTATGATAAAGATTAATTTGATATTTTTTATTTATAGGAAAAAACCTGTAATTTAAAAATTCAAGTAATTATGCTGTAGCATTTTAAAATTATTCATAATGGATAATAATGATGAAGATAAACTACTTTTACCAGGTGATAAAAGAGAATTAAGTGACTGCAATGAAAGACTATTTTTATCCAGATCAAAAGAGGATATTATTTATCCATCATGTAGGAATTTCATGCTTTCGGATTCTCATCCATCATCTGTTCGTAATACTTCTATGAATATAACTGCTCAGAATCAACAAATTAAAATTTCAGAATGTAATTTTTCTCGACAAATAACAGCTGGTCATAACACTTTAGACAATGTTTCAGTTCCTTCAGAATTATCATTAATAAACATATCTAATAATTCTGCAAATAATTCAACACCAATGAATCCTTCAGTCCTACCTTTTCAAGATCACACAACTTCTATGTGTGAAATAATGACTACAATTCCATTGCCTTTACAATCTGCTCTTTCTGCACCAGTTATTACTAAACGTGGTCCAGGACGGCCAAGAAAGGATGGAAGTGGTCCTATTCAACGCAAAAAGATGTAAGTCATGTTACTTCGTTAATATAATAAAAAAATTGCTTTACTTTTATACATCATGTAATTATAATGGTTATAATTATAATTTAGAAAGTATAATTTAAACTATATGCAAATATATGCACATAAATTTATTGTAGTGTCTATTTGCTTAACATCCTAATCAATGAAGTATGAAAAAATTATATATTAAAGTTTATTATTAGAAACTTAATAGTAAATATGTTCATGATAAAATTGCAATAATTATTGCTGTAATTTCCTGTGTATAATCTCAGAAAATTGCTAAAATGAAGATAAAAATGCATAGCTCAAACTTCCATATCTTTTGTACCTCTGAAGTTGCCATTGAAAATACGTCACTTAACCTGTGTGCAGTTTAGAAGGCATCATCTTAAACATCCTGTTTTTCATGTTTCTTTCATTTTATTTTTATTGTTAATTCATTGTAGATGTAGCTATAAAACAAGTGAAATGGAAAAACAGAATATTTGAGTATTGAAAATAATAATAATAATAATAATAACTCTCCCGTGGTCACCACCTGGTTGTGGTGGGAGAGCCCAGTAATTTTACTAAACCATAGGACAATGCAGGCTGAAGCACAAGCTCCTGGTAGGGACACCCATGCCAGTAAGGTCTATGGGGAGAAATGAAGCTAACAGTGACCTCACACCCATATTCTGTGGAGATATTCATAATGGTAGTAACCAGATCAAAGTATGATACCGGCTCGGATGTTGCCCGGGTTAACAAGGTCCACGTTTGTGGGTTAGACAGAGGCTCATGTTCGAAAAATAGGCTGCAGTCTCCCTTGGTTACCGGTGGCGAAAGCAGCACCAGCCCAAGCATGGCTACTGCAATGTCCTCAACAGATGTGAGGAATCAACCTTGCCTTGGTGTTTCTGTGGCAATGCATCCACAGACCACAAAGGCTGGAAAACCATGCCAACGGATGAAGTGGACAACAGAAATGAACGAGTTTATCATCCGTACTTTCTACGCAATCACAAAACTTGAAACAAACATGACAGCATACAGACAACTACACCATAGATTCACACAACAATATCCTCACCTCACTGTCACCGAACAAAGGGTTGTTGATCAAAAAAGAACAATTATACACAACAACCTTATCCCACAAACAACACTTGAACTTATCAAACAACAGGTTGCTGATCAAATACATCAACAGACAGAAACATTTAACATTAATGAAGATCACGTAACCTGTCAGGATAATCCAGCAACAAGCACTGATTACAGCACACACACAACAAGTACCACTAATGATACTGCAGGCACTTCCCCATCCATCACTGATAACGTAGACATAGAATTAGTTAATACACTCTCACTTATATTTCAGGAAACACTCACTAAATATACAGGTACAGATCCCACACAAAGACCACGAATACCGAAAATCAACACGTCAAAGGTAGTAGGAAAAACACTAAATTATGTAAACACTCACTTACTACCAAACTACATTCATTCAATTTCTACACTCTCAGACATTCATACATTAGTTTATGCTGGGGCAGTCACAGTAGTAACACACCATGGACTGAAAATACACTCACAGACAGACACACACAAAACACAATTCTATCACAAGCCTGCCTGGCAGAGAAGAATAGAAACACAAATAAATGACATTAGACAGCAATTAGGCAGGCTGACACAATACACTAAAAACAACATAACACCCAAATTAAAGAAACAACTCAAAAACATTTTCAAGAAAATTAAAACACACACAAAACATGAACATCACAACACACACATTACAGAATACATCGATACACTAAAACAAAAACTCGCAGCCAAAGCACGTAGACTCAAACGATACAAAACATGTACACTACGAAAACAACAAAATAAATTATTCACAAACAATGAAAAACTTTTCTACAGACAAATCAGTACCAAAACAAACACTGATACACAGCACAGTGGCACACCAACAGAAGAAGAACTCACAACTTATTGGTCTTCTCTTTGGTCCAATGCTGTTACACACAATGCTGATGCAGGCTGGATCAAGGAGGAGAACAGAAACTTGCATAACATACCAAGTATGCCCTGTGCTGAAATAAACATACACGACATTCGCTACGCTGTTAACAGAACACACAACTGGAAGACACCTGGTGTAGACAACATTCACAATTTCTGGTACAAAAAATTTACATCACTGTACCAGGAACTAGCTAAACATCTGACATACATCATCATCAATCCACAAGACATGCCAAAATTTCTTACTCAGGGCATCACCTACATGAAACCTAAAACCAACAACACCACAGACCCCACACAATACAGACCAATTACATGTCTTCCAACACACTACAAATTATTGACATCCTGTATCACAAACAAAATATACAAACATGTTGAAGAACGCGACATTCTTACAGAACAACAAAAAGGTTGCTGTAGAAATCACAGGAAATGCAAAGAACAGTTACTCATAGATTCAGTCATTCTACACCAAGCACACAAACAACACAGAAACATACACATGGCATATATATACTACAGAAAAGCATACAACAGTGTTCCACACAGTTGGCTGCTACATATTCTACACATGTACAAAATACATCATCACTCATTGCATTCTTCGAAAACACTATGCAGCACTGGAGAACAACACTACATCTCAGGGTTAGTAACACTTCCATACAAACAAACTAAATATTCATTAGGCGAGGAATTTTTCAAGGAGATTCGTTGAGTCCTCTCTGGTTCTGCCTAGCCCTGAACCCATTATCCAACATGTTAAACAACACGCATTATGGCTACAATGTCAGACATAAAAAAACAACACAGTTCACGCTGTCACATCTCATGTACATGGATGACATAAAACTTTATGCATCCACACAAAAACAACTTCATCAACTCCTACAAATCACACATTCATACACTAAGGACATACAAATGGAGTTTCGCTTAGACAAATGCAAAAAACTTCACATAGAAAAAGGAATTCTGAAGAAAGAAGATTTTGCACTTGGAAATGGAGACATTATTGAATCCATGGAAGAGGGCGAGTTCTACAAGTATTTAGGATTCCAACAGGCCAAACTAACAGAACATACACAAATAAAGTAAAGATTAATTAAAGAATACCAAAGTAGGTTAAACGCTATACTTAGATCACAGTTAAATGCAAAACACACAGTTAAAGCAATAAACACATATGTCATCCCAGTACTCACATACTGTTTTGGAGTTATACATTGGACTCACACAGATCTCGAGCAACTTGAAAGGAAAACAAGAACAACACTTACTAAGCATAAACAACATCATCCTAAATCTGCCACAGAAAAATTAACCCTTCCACGTAAAGATGGCAAACGTGGCCTGATTGACATAGTTAACCTTCACTATAAACAAATATAGTTACTGTGAGAGTTTTTCTACATGAAACAAGAAACATCACAATTGCATGAAGCAGTAACTCTAGCAGACTCAAATAACACACCATTAAACTTACACTC